ACTGATACCAATGATGGGGCACTATTCCTGCCACTGATACCAATGATGGGCACCATTCCTGCCACTGATACCAATGATGGGGCACTATTCCTCCCACTGACACCAATGATGGGGCACTATTCCTCCCACTGACATCAATGATGGGGCACTATTCCTCCCACTGACATCAATGATGGGGCACTATTCCTCCCACTGGTGTGCATTGGAAGAGGGGTAGTCTTATACGGCGAGTATAGCCCAAACACTACATTTTAGCAGGAAAAGTAGGGGGGTCGTCTTATACGCCCAGTCGTCTTATACGCCGGCAAATACGGTAACGCAAAATTTAAAATGTGACGGCAAAAAAACATACAGTAAGCTGTTAAATCTAATTCACAAACATAACAGAAAGTAAAAAAAAAAATTTAAAAAAAGATGTGATATTTATCACCAGGGTTTTGCTGGCAGTATCACATTTTTTCAGATGCAGTGAGGGGTATCCCCCAACCCCTAGCAGTCTGGCATAGATATTAAGGGGAACCTCATGCCAAATTTATTTCTAAAAAAAACAGTGTGGGGTCCCCCCCAGATCCATACCAGACCCAAAATCCTTTAGGATTGTGAGGGGACCCGCACACCATTTTTTTTTCAGTGTGGGGTTCTGCCAAAATCCATACCAGACCTAAGGGCTGTTTTGTTTGTTTTCATTCACTGAGACAACCACTGACAGCTGATGAGTTATTCAATGTTATGGACACCGCGGCTAGCTTCCTTAACAACCAGCTACAATGCGATAAATTACCACATGAAAATATGCACCACAATACAGATACAGCAAGAGTTATTTACCACAAAATTCTTAGTGAATTGTACACTTGCAAAAAATTTACCCCATGCGTTATTTTAACCCCAATGTCATTTCAGGTCATCAAATTAGGGAGAGATTGGACTGTTTATGTCCAGCCTTAGTTTGATGTAAGAAATATCTACAGTATGGCCTAAGACTGCAAATATGCTAGTTAGTATATGGCCATGTAACTCAGTCAACTCAATATCTTTATACTTTACTTAAAAATACATTTTATATATATTTTTAATACAGTGTTTATAATTAATGATGTCACCTTTATCTTGAAGTGTTGCTTTCACTGCCCTGCATGGCTGTGATAAACAGGTTAGTGTTTAAAGCTGAACACCACACGAACCGCTAAATACACAGTTGAAATGCATATTTGAGATCCGTTTTATCTGACAAACAGATTTGTATTTCTGTCCGTTCAGTCCTGAGATTTAAACAGATCTGCCACAGAGCACAGTCTAGTTTGGCAGGGGACCTGATATTTCTCTACTGCAGTTTCAATTTATGTCACTTCTAGATTTCTCAGGCCCCACTCCTGACAGAAAAAGAAGAAGCAACCCACTGATGAGCTCACCTTACAGTCACTCTGCTCTCTTACCCTATCATTGTGCACCATGCTCTACATCACACCTAATTTGTTCCTTAGACTGCTTCTCCCCCACCATTTCTGAGCTTTGTTGTACAATGACTACAAGAGGCTGACACCAAAGCAAATTAAAATAGTATTAAACATACAGTGTTTTCAGCTTAACACATTGAGCACAATTAAATAAAAAAATATCCAATAAGCTTTCAATGCTGCTGGCTTATGCTCTATCAGGGATACTTCTCAGAACTTCTGGTCTTCATAAGAAGGTTACAGTAGGCAGTGCAGTGTCCATCTTTTAGGGATCCTGTATAAAGCCCTACAGAACAGACAGTGCACAGTCCACATGTGTTTATCTGCTGCTTCTCTGCAAACAGGATTCAGGAACTTTATTATAGAGAAACAACATAGAGTTTAACCATAGAGGCAGCTACAAATTTATAAACACTGCCATCTACTGGTTTGAAGAATATATCTTTACTGAATACTGTTGGTGTAGTTGTTGCACAAAAATACAGTACGTGAACACTGTATTCCAACACCCCCACTCAACAACTACTCCTTTCATTAGTCCCATTTCAGATCTCAGTGCTATAAATCTGTTTCTTGTAAGTGGTTTTGTCAAAGCATCTGCAATCTGGGTTTAATGTTACGCAAGCAACATAGGACAGACATGTGGCTGGGATGTCTTTATTGCTTCTTGTGTATTTCCTGATTGAAGCATCTTGTGGCCTGGTTTCTTCTTTTACAGTATTTGGATTCTCCGCATTCATTTCTATTTCTGTGTCACTTTGTTGCTTATCTTCATGTGACACTGAAGCAGAATTTCCCTCAGTTTGAAGCGTTTGTGTTAGTTCATGAAATTTTGAACACATTGAAGCGTCATCTACAATTACACTTCTGCTAATGGTTACCTTGTTTGTGTCTTAGTGTGAAATTCTGTATCCCTTTTGAGATTCACTGTACCCCACAAGTACACAATCCTTTGCGCAAGCATCACAATTTGTTCATTTTTCTTTTGGGATGTGCATATAGGCTTTGTTCCAAAAATTTTCAGATGGTTCAAATTCTGGACTTTTCTATTTCACAGTTCATATGGAGTTTTCTCAGTTGATCTTCCTGGTAGTCGATTGTGGAGATAGCATGTGGTCATAATTGCTTCCCCCCAGTATGTGGTCGGCATATCTGCATCAAACAGCATGGTTCTTCCTCTCTCCCATAGAGTAAGGTTTTGTTCTGGGTTGTATGGTTTCAGTAGTTTGAAATACTATGCCATGCTTTCTAAAAATCGACTGTGTGTTATCACCTGTATATTCAGTTCTATTGTCTGTGTGCAATACACCAAATTTGTTGCTTACTTGAGCCAAATACTGTTCAAATTTCTCTGGTACTTCACTTTTGTTGTGTGACAGATATAGAGTAGTATACCTGGAGTAATTATCTGTAAAAGTGAGAAAATACCTCTTCTCTTCTCTCCTGGAGTGACTTTTTCTATTGGACTGCAATGATCTGAATGAATTAAGTCCAGAGGTTTTTTTTTTTAGTTGTGCTGTTACTCTGCTTTGGAAAGTTTTTTTTTGGTCATTTTTCCATTTATACAGCAGGTGCATTTCATTGTTTGATCACATGGACTTTTATTCCACTTGCATAGTCACTCTCAGTTAATTTCTTTATTATGTCAAGACTTCTGTGCCCGAGTCGCCTGTGCCATGTGTGAATGCAGTTTGAATGTTTTTTCCTTCTTGACAGTATTAACCACCTCATTGCAGTTCAGCTGATACAGTTCATCTGTAATTTTAGCCTTTGCATGCAAGATATCCCCTTTTGTGATGACACAACTGTCATCTTGGAAGATCATTACATTGCCTTCTTTTATGAGCTTCTTCACTGACAAAAGATTAGTTTTAAGAGCAAGACATCCAGGACATTTTCACAGTTGTCTTTCTGGTGACACTCTGGGAAATAGGACAGTAAAGAAAACCATCCCCTGTTCTTTCTGATTCCATTATTTGCCCATTAGCTCTGGTAAGTTTTTAATAGGCACCGTCACTATTAACTATGTCTATTTTACGTCTATATTCATCCATAAACCTGCCTATAAAGCGGAGTTCCACCCAAAAGGGGAAGTTCTGCTTTAAAGATTGGTCCCCCGCTCCTCATTAAGGATTGGCACCTCTGGGGAGCGGGGGGGGGGGGGGGGGAGGGGACCCAAATTTGACAGGCACCTTCTCTTTTACCTCTCAGGCATTCAACCATTTCCAATGTGTGCCTTATGTAATCCTGCTTATCCTGGCCATTTATCAGTTTGGTTTGTTATAGCTTTCTAATTAAATACAGTTTATTGCTGAGATTAGCTCTTTTGTACACCTTTTGCAATCCTTCCCACATTTCTTTAGCAGTTTCAAACTTACATACGTATATGTATGATTTAATCTTTTATGCTAAGAGAGATTGTGCTGTGAGCTCTCTGGTCTTTCTTTATCCATTCATCTGAAGGGTGTTCTGGCCTGACTTCATTTATACATTTCCACATACCTTCTCTTATTATCAGAATTTGTATCTTGAATTTCCAAGACTGGTAGTTCTGGTTTGTCAGATTTGCAAATGAAAGCTTTGTTTTGGGTGTTTTACTGGCCATTTTTCTGTTGCAGTCTTTTTTCTGTTGCTGCATCTTGCACTCGTTTGCTGTAGTTGGCGATGACTGAGTGTCTGGGCCCATAACCTGTTAGAGATTATAGCCCTACAGAACAGACCTTTAAGGAGGGGTGGGCTCCTTCAGGTTCACCTGCCTTGGTCTATCCATTAAATACATGTGCCTCTACTATGGGGGCTCTCAAAATTTGTAGAGTTATAAATACAGAATATCAGGGTGCCGTGAAGAGATTCTGTAGCTTACGTATGTGTTTGCAAATGTGTGCTAACTAAACCCCTGTTTTTAACGCATACTGTTAAACAGGTTAATTTGGTTTGTTTGCAAGCTGGCTGGCAAGTTGAGCTGGGAACTTCTCTCTTTTGTTTTTTGACATGCTTTGCTTGTCCATGTGTTCCTTGCTGTGAAGGCCAGTTATAGACTGGGGCAGCGGCCATTGTTTTTACTGTTGAATTGTTGGTGGGGGGGGGGGTGCACTGGACACCCTAGCTGCCATTGTGCTACATGCTGGGTGTCCGATGCACTCCTGTACCTTTAAGGAGGGGTGGGCTCCCTCAGGTTCACCTGCCCTTGGACTATCCATTAAATACATGTGCCTCTACTATGGGGGCTCTCAAAATGTGTAGAGTTAGGACTATAGAGATATCAGGGTGCCATGGCGTTGGGTCTGTAGCTTACGAAAGTGTTTGCAAATGTGTGCTAACTAAACCCCTGTTTTTAATGCATACTGTTAGACAGCTTAATTCGGTTTGTTTGCAAGCTGGCTGGCAAGTTGAACTGGGAACTTTTCTCTTTTGTTGTTTGACATGCATCTCCCACTCCGTGTGTTCCTTGCTGTGAAGGCCAGTTATAGACTGGGGCAGTGGCCATTTTTTGTACTGGAACAGTAAGGGACCATCCCCAAACTGTTCCCACAAAGTTGGGAGCATAAAATTGTCCAAAATGTCTAGGTATGCTAACACCTTTAGAGTTCCCTTCATTGAACTAAGGTGCCAAGCCCAAATCCTGAAAAACAACCCCACACCATAATGCCCCCTCCACCAAACTTTACACTTGGCACTAGTCAGGCAAGTACCATTCTCCTGGCAAATCGCCAAACCCAGATACGTCCATAGTGAAGAGTGTTTCATCACTGCAGAGAACATTTCTCCACTGCTGTAGAGTCCAGTGGCAGCGTGCTTTATACCACTGCAACTGACGCTTTGCATTGCACTTGGAGATATAAGGCTTGGATGCAGCTGCTCAGCCATGGAAACCCATGCTATAAAGCTCTCTAAGCACTGTTGTTGTGCTAATCTGAAGGCCACACAAAGTTTGGAGATCTTTACCTATTGACTCTGCAGACAGTTGGCGACTTGCACACTGTGCGCTTCAGCATCCGCTGACCCTGCTCTGTCATGTTACGTGGCCTACCACTTCGTGGCTGAGTTGCTGTTGTTCCCAGTTACTTCCACTTTGTTATAATACCACTAACAGTTGACCGTGGAATATTTAGTAGCAAGGAAATTTCACGGATGGACTTATTGCACAGGTGGCAACCTATTACGGTACCATGCTTGAATTCACTGAGCTCCTGAGAGTGACCTGTTCTTCCACAAATGTTTGTAGATGCAGTCTGCATGCCTAGGTGCTTGATTGTATACACCTGTGACCATGGAGATTGTTTGGTACAGCTGAATCGGAGGGGTGTCCCAATACTTTTTGCAATACTGTGTATCTCTACTGAATACTGTTGGTGTATTTGTTGCACAAAAAAACACAAAACTCTGTATTCCAACACCAGCCAGTCTCCTATGTTGAACAAGGAGGGGAGGAAGAGGGAAAAGCACCTTATCAATCTAGGCTATTGGCTATGTGTTTTTATTGCACCTGGGGGAGCGGTCATGTCACCAGCCTAAACTATCAAAGATTAAAGATAATCAGGTCCTGATTTGGGAATTTGCTTTGGATAAAATAGCAGTCATAAACACCAAGCCATTGACATTGATTTCAAGCAACTGTGCAAGATGGAGGAAATCCTGAAGATGACCTGTTATGGAGCATGAGGACTGAGGAACCACTGAAGTAAGTGATTAAATCAGCTGTTGAGAGTGCATATAAAAACTGAAGGTTTAATATCACTTTAAAGTGATACTAAAGCTATTTTTTTAAGTAACAAACATGTCATACTTATCTGCTCTGCGCAGTGGTTTTGCACAGAGCAGCCCCGATCCTCCTCTTCTTGGTTCTCTTCTTTGCCCTCCAGGCTCCTTCCCTCTGCTGGTTGCCCTCATAGTAAGCCACTTGTGCCAGCTCGCTCCTGAGCCCTGTTCTGTTTGTCCATAGACACACAGAGCGTGGCTTAGCCCTGCTCTCACTCCCTTCTCACTGGCTGTGATTGACCATAGCATTGGGTGGGGGGGGGGGGGGGGGGTACATACAGAAGGTGTGCATGAAGGTAAAAAACCTTCAGCCTTTAAAACAACTTTAAGATACTTAACCTACTTGTATTTTAAACAAATACATTTAAGAATGTGTTGATCGTTACAGAACTACAATAATTTGTGTCATTTTATATCTCTCTGTAATTAAGCTTTAAATTAATACACCAGATTCTTCTATTCTTGTGTATAAAATTTGTAAGGTTCCTTCACTTGCAATCCTGTGCTGGTAGGCTAAGTTCACACTGGGGCAGGCTGTGATGGATGGCTTTTCAGAGGGCAGCTAAGCAGCAGCTTCCAGGTGTTTAGGAGGTGATCCTGCTGCTTCCATAATGTTTTTTTTTTTTCCAGACCATCACTTGCTTCTCATCGAACTACACAAAGTGAAATAAAAGAGTGTTTTCTTCATTGCATTATGATTGCACTTATGAATGTGAGAGGTTGTGGACTTGTGACTCAAAAAAGATCCATGGTGATAAAACATGGCACAGTAAAATAATCCTGTGCAGTTATATCACTAAAACCTAGGTATGCATACTATTGCATCCAAATCACATTACATGAGATGCAGTTTTAATATGGTAATACTCAGCTTGTGTATCTTGTATCTGTATGTACTCCTCGACTGATAGAGCGGAGTGGTGTCCTTAGCTTCGACACTCCAGTCCCATACCACAATCAGGATATGTCCGAGATGTTTTCAGCATATTGGCTTGTTTCTCTCTCAAGGCTTCCCTGCAGTCTTTAGCAGTTTTGACACTTGATTAATTCCTTTCCCAATGGAGTGACAAATATATTTCACACCTTCATCCATCATTCCTGGTCCAATTCCTTTGGGTTTTAAAACCCTGACAAAATGTTGCATAGTTGTTAGTGTTGTGTGTAGGGAACAGTCTGTGGGGCTACTTAAACAGAGGCAGTGTTATAATGTTAGAGCAATGCTGAAATAACCTATAGGACACTGCAGGGATCGTATCCTAATGGGATAAACATAGTTCATTTGCTTGTAAAGTTTTGATTTAAAATGACAGTACAAATCCTTTTTCTCTTCAGTGCAGGGCATTTTGTTACTTTAGTCTTCAAAATACTGCAGATTTCCCTTTGTAGTGCTCCTTCAATGTAGAGGGAGCTTAGTGCCTTTCACATTAGAATAAAAGCACCGTCGATCCTTTTATGGAGGTAATCTACTGGGAGGCAGGAAGCAAGATGAAGATGTTTTTACAAGGTGTCACTAGAAATGTATGTTGCTGATGTTAAGAAGAATGGGCAAATTGAAAAATAACAACTATGGAGGAGTAAAGAAATTTAGTGCGTACAAAAGATACAGAACAGAATAATGCAGTCATCAATCCTACTTTCTTAGGTTTAGTTTGCAATGAAGCCTCTTCCAAAAGGAGTGAAACTTCCAGGTAATTGCATATTTATATTGCAGACGTGAATTCTTCACCCACTGGGTATTTAAAGAATCACATGACCTTTTCTGATTCAGAAATGGAGTTGAGCAAAATGATCCACAAAGTTCAAGATTCATCCCAGATCATGGTTTGCTTTGTAACCACAATGTTTTCTATTGAATTAAAAGGAAAGAACCAATTCACATAAGCTCCAAGGAGCAGGGTCCTCCTAATCCTCTTCTATTGAACTGTACTGATGCTGTATTGTCTCCTTTTATATTGTAAAGCGCTGAGCAAACTGTTGGCGCTATATAAATCCTGTATAATAATAATATATTAATATAAACCCTGGTTCACATTGCTGTGAATTGTCATGTGACTTGCAACACAATGTCACATGACAAGTCAAAATTATTTATTTTAATTGCAGTCATTCCAATCAATGAGACTTAAGTTGCAGTGACTTCAAAAATGGTTCCTGTATTTAGATGCGACTTCAATGAGTCTTAGAGTCCCATGAACTAATGTGCATGAAAATTTAAATGCAAAGCCACACTAGAAATCACACGACAACAGGGTTGCAGCAGTGTGAACCGAGTCTTAGTGTGTTAAAATGGTAGTAAACTCTTTTTGTCTGTTTTTTACCTACAGGTAAGCTTGTAATAAAGCTCACTTGTAGGTAAAATGAGTAACTTGCATCATTTAGGAGATATTTGCTCTTTTTGAGAGCTGACGCATGTACTCTGAAGGAACGGAATACCCGTGCCATTGCTTCAGGGCACTGTGTTGTGTCCCGGGACTCCCACGCACATGCCTGGCCAGTCAGATGGCCAAGGCTTGAGAACTTGGAATTAAGTCTGGGTGAAGATGAAAGCCTCTGCAGCAGTGAAAGCATGCTGCTGGAGGGCTTCATTTAAAGGTAAGCCCATCATAATGTGCTAGTATGCAATGTATTCTAGAGTATTATAACATTACCTTGCAGGGGATTTTTTTTTTTTTTTTTTTTTTTTTACTGTAGGTGCGGTTTACTACATTCCAGTTACTTCTATGATTAACTAATAAGAAGCCACAGAATTAAGATATAGGACATTTTGCTCTCCAACCTTTAACCTTTTTTTTTTTTTACAGAAGAGGGGACCTGATATGGAACAGTGGAGACAGAAGATGGAGGTGGTTTGTTTACCCTATTTATATTAATGTGGCCATAAGGCCAATTTCACATGGGGTGGACCCACCTGCAGATCTGCTTTCTAAGCAGGGGATCTGTCTGCTGATCCCCACTGAGCAAGCGGATGACTGGTCCGTGTCCGCTCTGCTTATACAGAGGGGACACGGACACAGTCCACTGTCTTCTATGGGCTGTTAGATGGAAATGGACAACCTGTCCATTTAAATCCAACTACCATCCGATCTGATCAGCCAGATGGATGGGGAACATATCCCCATCTGTCTGTTTTTAGCAGACAGGATCAGATCGGTTGCAGGTGGGTGTAAACAGTCACATGTCTATTTACACCCACCACTCCATAGAGAGCAATGGAAAATTGGATCAGGTTTGCTTGAAAAACAGACAGATTGACCCAAGCGGGCTGCTTGTGTGAAAGGGGCCTAAAGGGGAAAAGTCTGTCTTTTTTTAACCTCCCTAGCGGTCTGATTATGTCCATATTTCTGTGCTCAAAGTGATAAATAATTTTTTGCACGGAAATATGTATTTTTTTTATTGTAGGCCTGTCATTTTTAGGAATAACTCACCGAAATCTGTCCGAACAAGAGTCTAGTAAATATCCCGGGTATGATAACATTTGAAACACAAAATCATAAATTATAATGTAATAAATAATCATAAAAATAATAATATAATAATAATACATTTAATTCAATAATATAATGAAACCAAAAACACTGAAATTTGAAATATAGCGGCAAGTTCGCACATCGCTGAGCAAAGTCGCTAAATCGTTTTCAGTGTCTGATGATGAATTTACCACGAATCATTATCACTCAATTCTGCAAGTAGTTCAAATTTACTATCGCTGTTCTCTAGTTTGTCTAAAACCGATTTTGACCTAAAGGGACGCTTTTTGGACGCCATGGATGTTTCTCAGTTTCCAGGCAGAAAGAAAAGTAAAAATGCAGGCAGGGCACAGGACAAAGCACTAGGGACAAAATGTATGAAATGGTTTGATACAGTAATGTCTTACTATGTGATTTTAGAGTATTTAGTGAATGTCACTTTTTGTCATTTTCAAATTTCCCGCCAGTTCCGTCCGCCGCGCGCCCCGACTGCGCAGGGGATGGAACCCAGAAGATAGATGCCGGCATCCGCCGGAGGACATTACAGGGGACACTGCAGGAGGGACATCGCGGGAGCACAGGACAAGGTAAGTGAAGAACAGATGCCGGAGCAGCGCCGCATGGTAAGCCCGAGTGTAGCTCGGGGTTACCGCTTTTGGTACTGAAACTTTACCCCGAGCTACACTCGGGAATACCGCCAGAGAGGTTAATAAAGTTATTGTAGGGCTGGTTCATGCCACAATTTCTGCATTCTGGATGCCTTACTGCATGCATGTTTTTGATGTTTTTGTGATGCGTTTTGGCATTTTTCAGATGCGTTTCATCTATAGAAAAAATGCAGCACATTCTTCTTGTTGTTGACTACACTGGAATGCACTGCAGTGGCATGAAGTAGAGTCATTGGAATACATAGAAAACACTTTGCTTTCATTTTTGATGCAGAATAAAAATACACTGGACAACATCAGGTGTGAACCAGCCCTAAAATAAATGTCTGCTTATTTATATTTACT